GCCAAGGCAGCATTTTTTCATAACGGTATTTAAATGAGTTGTTGATTTGTTTCTTTCTAGAATATTAGTCCTTAAATAAATATTTGAATATCTATACTGAAAAGTAGAAGTATTGCATTTCTTTCACATTTTAGATATCTACTAATTCATTTATTTTTTCTTCAATAAAAATGATCTTCTCAAACAAGTGAAATGTTACCGAAAACTACGTGAGTATTACACAAGTAATTCACTCTCTTATTCTTCTACAACATTTCCCTTTTAGAATAAATAATAATAGTACGCAACCTGATAACATTCCCCAACAAACATCATTCCAAAACAATACGGTTTAGTCAGATACTAACCGAATGCTTTCAACGACCATTGTGACTACAAGTCAACCACTGATGCAGTTCAGTCGGACGAACATGATACCAAATCAAAAACAACAAATTCAAAACATACCACCAAATAGTAATACAAGTGTACGTCAACAAGGTAGATGAAGACAATGCCAACAACGACGACAAAGAAGAAATCAACAGCGTGAACAACAACGACAACAAGAACATCGGGCACGACAAGAAACCACTCGCCAACAACCAATACTTCCAGTAATCCGACAACGATACAGAACGTATTCGGAAATTGAACGGGACCATAAATATTGGAAAGCTTTTGGTTTTCCTGAATACATGGATGAAGTATACAGCGACACATTATTGGAAGCATATGAATGGGAACAGATATACCCAAAAGAACGATGGGAACAAGAGCAATTAAACGAATTTCAAGGATTTGCTGCCATCGAACAGTTACATTTAATGGAAGGCGAAATTCAACAACAAAACCAAATAAATGAGGCTAAAGAAATGCCAGAAGAAGAACAAGAAGAAACAAATCAACAACTCATTTAAATACCGTTATGAAAAAATGCTGCCTTGGCAGTTCAACAAATAAATGAACACTAAATTTTATGTCTATACATTATATAGGTTAATGACTGTTTTTCTTTCATATCATAAACAATAAATATATCCATGAACCTCAATCTAACATACATCTTTTCATTCTTTTATAACCTTACAACAAATTCTACTAAACTTTTCATTTCAGATACATCAGCTCACTTTTAAAAACAAAATGCAGCGTCACATAAACTGAATAATAACACAACTTAATCATAATACAAAAATAAACACTACCTATAGAACAAACTACAACAGCAAAACAAATTCTTCACATTTCATCGACAACTACACCGCGTACTATTAACAAATCACAAAATAAAGTAATAACTAACTTCATCAATTTCTACACAATCAAACCTACTATAACCTTACGGTGAATTTCAATATTCAACACACATATTATATCTTCTAACTTGACCTGACGACAATCCTTAAGCAATAGTCGAAGCAATAGTCGAAACGCGTTGTAAGAAGCTTGGAATATTCTAATGAAACTCACCATTTCTTAAAAATTCTACGATTCTTCGAATTTTATCTCGACATTAGAAGGTTCTATTGAGAGTTTCGACTCTTATCTAACCTGCTATTGAACTTTGAGATTTAATTTAATGTAGATTCTTATATTCCAAACTTACCTGATGATGAGCCCTTTAGCAAGGATCGAAACGCGTCGTAAAAAGCTTGGAATATTCTAATGAAACCCACCCACCCACACCCTCAAGAACGGTTCCTGGTCGCGCGCGCGCGTGCGAATATCTAATACAGCGATCGATTGAGGGAGGTGGGAATAAAAAAATGCTTTTATTGAATAAGAATAATTTTCAATCATGCATACACACAATTGTCATGTGCTATTCACTAAGAACTGGGTTTTTTCCCACTACGAAAAAAGAAAATAGGAAAGATGGGTTTTCTCCCACTACGAAAACCAAACATGGATGGCTTTGTACTTTCCTTATCC